ATAATAGTTTAGTTTTATAGTTATTTAGTTTTAACCTATAGTTTAATAGTCTAAAACTGAACTATTAACATCCCTACTTAGTAGAAAATTTAAGGGCCATCCAGAGTGAAGAAAGCTTCTCTGATTTAACCCAGATAGAATGGGAGCCCAAAAAAAAAGTTCCTTGGCCCCTTATACCCGAAGGAGTTATAAAAGCCTCGGAGGAAGAAAATGACCCCAAGTATGAGGGTGATGAAGGATCATCTGATAGTAATTCTTCTTCTTCTTCACAATGGAAAACATCAGATGACGATGAGTCCCAAATAGAAGTTGTAATAAACAGTAGATCGACAAGTCTAACCACCCCGAAAGAAGAAACCTTGACCGAAAAGTGGAAGGTTAATAAGAGTCTTGCAGACCAAGTAAAACAAGAGGATGCAATGATGAATGAATTTATCAAATGGCTAGAAGATGACCAGGAAGAAACCTTTGAGCCACAAGCAATTGATATCGGCGCAGAAGGAATTAGTATTGAAAAGGATGAACAGGCAATAAATATAGACATGCCTATATATATACCTGTCTTTCTTTTTACTAAGTTAACTCCTAGAAGATGCCAAAAATTGGTCTTTGCAGGAAAAACCCAGTGCTTCGAAAATGAGTTCTTCCTCTACAACCATCCTATCCTTAATAACCATATAGCAGCTCGGGAGCTCAATTTAAGGCAGGCCATATATTGGGTAGATTTTTATAGCTATTCTTTAATTGCCAATGACCCAAATGAATTACTAATCCTACAAAACCAGATGCAAGATGAAGTATGACAAAGTGAAGCCCGGCAGTTAATAGCTTTACAAACCAGCATTGATCCTGGGTGTGGCCAAAGACTTGTAGATGATAATGGTGTTCTTATCTTATCTGTGGAAATCGAGTTGGATTAGTAAACGCATATAAATACCAATATCCTTTTTCTTTTAATATCTTAATGTTATATGACCTTCCGGACATTCATGTTCTCAGGATCATATAACCGAAAAATAAAATAAAATAAAAAAAAATAGATACTTTAGTAACACTGTCTGAATTTTATTTATTTTTTCTGAATCACAGACCTAACATTAGTAAGATTGGTTAGGATGGGGTAGGGCGAGTTTGGGCCCTATTCACTTAAGAAAAGATCGATGAAAACTTGATCTGCAAAAATCAGTTGCTGATTGGGGTATTAAATTAGGAAGGGTCCAATAGGGACTAAGTTTGGAAAATTAAAATAGAATGCAAAAAAAAAAAAAAAAAAAGTGTATTGGAAGAAAATGATGAGAGTTGAAGTTTAGATTTTTGGCTATAGCTGAATACTAAAGTATTTCTCTGCTATCAAAAATCTTCTGAGAAGATGCGTAATGAATGGCCCTAAAAATTGGTTAAATAAAAATAATGGCGGCATTGAGGAAAATTGATCAATTGTAAGAGTTAGGGACGCAATAATTAAAGATACGTCCACACTATTAGATAAATAGTGTCATAGTGTATCCAAGCAAATTGAAGACATTAAAGAACCTGAACAAGTTAAAATACTAAACAAACTATAGGAAGAATCCTCTGTGTGGAATTTCCTAACGGCATAAATCTGACATTAAGCAAAAATTCGGACCAGGTAGTCGGTGTCCTGGCACAAGAAGTAATAAGGTGGATCCAGAAAGATTTAATCAATTAAAGCGCTTTCTTCAAAAACAATATATTGATCTGAGATTGTCCAAGAAAGAAAGAAGAAGACTTATAAATAATAGGCGGATGTTCTTCTTAAAAGATGAGATTATTTTCCAAAACAACAGCAGAAACTTAAATAAGCCATTGAGAGTTATTCAAATCCAAGAAGTGGAACCAGTGTTATATCTAGTTTATGATCACCCATTAGGAGGTCATTTGGGGATCAAAACCATGTTTGAGAAAATAAGACAACTCTATTACTGGCCTCAATCATATAAACGAATACGGGAGTATGTGAAGTCCTGTGACCAATGTCAACGACGAGGCAAGCCCTATCTGACTACTCCCTTACACCCTATACTGGTCGTAGCTCCTTTTTATTAGGTTGGTATAGACATTGTAGGACCACTACCTATCACATCTAGAACAAGTAGGTACATAGTAGTGGCAACAGATTATATAACTAAATGGCTGGAAGCTAAAGCCATTAGTTTAGCAAATGCTCAGGAAGTGTCTAATTTCCTGTACAATAAAATAATTTGCTGTCACAGGTGCTCCGAGTTGATCCTGTCAGATCGAGGAACTCATTTCTAAAATAAGCTAGTTCAGAAATTACTAGAAAAGATCCAAACTAAGTATGTCTTGTCGACGCTATACCACCCCCAGACAATTGGGCTAGTAGAACGGTTTAATCGGACCCTGTGTGAGTCTATTGCCAAAACCATAAAAAATGTAGTAGACTGGGATCTAATTATCCCATCCATATTGTTTGCTTATCGAACTTCAAAGCATTCTACTACAAGGATAACGCTATTCTACCTAACTTACGGTCGAGATGCAAGACAGCCCATTCAATCAGACGAAAGTGTTAGGAAAACTATGATCCAAAAAGTTCGAGGGCTGGTAGATACACTGCCGGTAATCCGCCAAGCTACCCTTTTTCAAGTACAAAAGGCGCAGAATGGCAAAAACAGCTTCATGATAGAAAGATTCAGAATATTACTGAATTTGGAATAGGAGAAAAAGTATTGGTGTACCGTGTGTTCTGACAATATAATTGTAGCATAAAACTTGAACCGAAATAGTCAGGCCCATACTATATTCATCAGGTTTTTGACTGGAATGTAGTTAAGTTGCGCACAATGGAAGGTCAAGTCGTATCAACCCCAATTAGTACTAGTCTAATTAAAAAGTATAGAGATCATCAAAGGGACACCGAATGAGAAAGTGTATTAAATTAAGGTGTAGATTGCGTGATAGAGAGGAGTAAGAGACGAATAATGTTTTGATAATAAGGGTGTGTGAAAAAAAAAAAGAATACATATATTATAACTAGTAGATCGAAAGAGGGTTTTTTTTTTATATATATAGTCAAGTTCGAAACTTCGATCTATTTATCTTTACAACCATTTAAAAAAAAAAAAAATGTATATCCATGCAATTATCAGGGATATAACCTCTCCAGTCCCTTCTGGTGTTCTTGTAACTCCACCTCAATTTGTAGCTCTATCTCCATTTGAGAAGACCCACGATCTTATGGAAAGTGTAAAAGCGACTCGTACGGCCTTGCTGCGGGCCATTCGATTGAAAAATAGAATCGAAACATTGGTATTGGCCTACTACCTCAGCATGTTATTTGTAACTGCCACTCCCACTCAGCAAGGAGCCATCCGAAGACAAGTAACTCGACATTATTACCTTGCGGCTAGGCGTGACTACAATGTATTTGCTCCTCTTGGCGTTTAGCAAATTTATAGCACTACTATAGTTACTTTTAATACATTTAGGCTGCTATTGAATAAAGATCTCCAACAATTGATCCTCTAGTGTTCGTGGAACTCACATTTTAAGTTGGGGTATTGTAACCCGGGAAACTCGGATTTTCAGAAATTTCAATTTTAGGCCGATTAATTACGTATGTGCCGCAGAAGCCTATTTTTGGTTAGCAACGATTTTCAATTTATTTGGGTTAAAGACTTTTAGAAGCGATTTGTCTTAAAAGTCTTAAAGGTCTTAAAGGTGGGGGTATAATACTTTTAAGACTTAAAAGTCTTTTCTTTATTTTATGTATTTTAATAGTTTATATTATTATAAGACTTAAAAGTCTTAAATGAAACATAGTGTAAAAGAAAGTATATAAGCAGTACATTTCTGCTATTTAATAAAGACATCGTTTCATACGATTAAACAAACATTTTTTGGCCTACTTATACAAATTATTCGTAACACTACCTTCACCTTGATCTTTCTTAAACTAAATTCTTGTCTAATTGTTAAAATCCGATAAACTATAACTGCTACGCTGCCCAAAAATACTTTTCTGAATTAGCCCAAATTTAGGCTAAATTGCTCCAATTGTCTGCCTGATACAGACAACCCTTATTGTTATCCGAGTTTAGCGCCATTTCCAACCTTAGTTTAGGTTGATTGTATTGAGTACCGTACCCGGAAGTATTGTGAATATATTTCCTTGCGAGTTGGTTCCAGTGGTTCGAGTGTTAGTAAACCGAAGTTTGTCACATGTTTCTTGCCTAAGGATTGCCGAAGCCTTAGAACCATTCCACTTCACCAAATCTAAACGTCTCTTTGATAAGGTGGTCCAGTGTTTTGTTTTTTTAATTTTGCTGGTTGATTTAACTCTCGGCAAATTGATATTTCTCCGAGTAACAATAGCCATAGGCTACATGTAGCTATACTATTTTTTATAGAAAAATTATACAGGCTATTAACATTAGGGTTAGGATTAGAGTTAGGTTAGGTTAGATTAGATTAGGTTAGGGTTAGAGTTAGGGTTAGAGTTAGGGTTAGAGTTAGAGTTTTTTAGGGTAAAATTGCAAGAAGAGCATTTTTGCTTAGTTATACAACAGGGGTTATCCTAGTAAAATTTTGAGTTATTGTGAATTTATTGAAATGGCTACAGAAAGCCACAGCTATATATAAAATTTTCCAATTTTAAATATTGATGATTACTATAATTTGTATAGTACTTGTATTCCCAATATTATATTAATTTTATAAATATCACATATAGCAACTGTTTTAATCAACAATTCTAAAATTCCACCTGTGCAGTATTTACTTTAAATAATCAAAGTATATATAATCCTCAAGGAGTAGATGCTAATTTGCTTAAAGAATTATTAGCAACAAAATATATATCTGTTTTAGTATTAGTTATACATATCGAATAAATACTAGTTGGCAAATAGTACAAAATATGACAACATTTAATGAAGATGATTTAATTAATTTATTAGTAGTTCATTCTTATGATGCAAATATTATTAATCATCAAATTTGCTTTAATTAAATTAGTTAATTTTTTATCAATGAATTTAAAAAATTTAAATAATTATCTCAAAGCACTTTCAGGTTTATTTCAGTTAAGTATTAAGATTATTTATTTATTAAAATTTTATATAAAAATTAATTTATTTATAATAATTTAGATTATCTATAATTAAAAAATATTTAAGCAATTATATTATTCCAGTACCAGCAAACTTTTCTGGGCAACTATTTATTTGCCATGCTATAATATGTAAATTAAACTTAGGAAATATATTAGCAATTCTATTTCAAATTACTCAATTAGTATTATTATTAGGACCACTTCATGTATCCTTAAATACTCAAGAAATATATCTTTTAGGTTATTATCCTTTTTTTAATCATCTTTATAAAGAAGTACTAGCATCCAACTCATGGCTCTGCCACGGGAACTGCAAAAATTTATAAAAATTTTAAGAAAAATCCGTAATTTTCATTAAACGAAAGTTAAAATACATATTAACAAAATAGATAATATATAACTTTAAATCAGTCTACTAAGGTGTGGTGACTTAGTGTAGTGGTCTAGTTGTAACCCTCTCCAAGTGGCAGATCTAGAGTTCGAATCCCATGGATAATGAATTTTGAAAAATAGGCTTGCGTTATAGTTAACGGTTATGATTATTGGTTGGATCTTAGATAAATCTGTAACTTCAATTACACCATCTAGTGATAGAAGCAATGGTACAATAAAGCCAAGGAACCAGAATAACTGAAAACCTATTTGGGAAGTCCTGAGTTAAGAAATAGCGATGATCTATGACAGTACTATATGAGGGCTGAATTCGAACTGGGGCCCAAAATCGGAGAACTGAATAACCAGGTCCTAATGGTGGAGACACACTAGCTAAATCACCGGGTTTTGTCCACTGGAGAAAAAGGATATATGCTTTGAAAGTATGTATCAAGGGGAGGGCATCCTTCGGGTACCTAAAGCCTGGGCAAGACCGACCTTTCCGGGTTGCTAGCTGGAAGTAAGAGAGAGACTGAAAAGAATCTGGATAAGAAGATAGTACCAAATGTGGATATTGGGATTGTTGTGAAACTTAATAAGGGCAAGAAGTAGGTAATACAAGAGGTTCAATGGTTAGCGCTGACCCTGAGTGCATAGGTCAAGCTTTGGCGTAAAATTACTGAAATCTGGGTGAGGCACATGAATAGGACATGTGCCCCAGCAAAAAGGCGAGCATGGCCTTCTGTTAATCTGGTGGGTAACTCCTAGCAAGTTAGGTGCCAAAGGGGAGGTAAATCAGTAGCTGACAGTTACACATGGGCATCTCTGAGCAGCTGTGTGATGCTTTACGCACGAGTAGGGGGTATAGTACTAGAAACTGTAACACTGCGGGGAGGAACCCAGGATATATATAGAAATATATATACACTAGTGCTGTACTACTATGTATATACTTAACCATTTAGATATAATAAAGTGGCTACCATTGAAACCAAAAAAAATAAATAAATAAAATAAATCAGTTTACTCTTAACTTGATTATTCAGAAAGTAGTGTCACTGCTAATGAAGATATTAGGTTGCTATCTTAATAGCAATAATTTATTTCTTAGTAAATACCTGAAATTTAATTGAGCAATAAAATTTGTATAAATCATTATTACCTTTGGTTAATAAACGATCATCAGGTTTATACATATACTAAGCTGGAATGAATATAAAATAAGTTTAATTACTTTAATACTTTGACCAATTAAACTCAAATCCAAAATTGAATTATAGAGATTTCTATTGTGAGTTATTGTAAAAAATTTCGTTAGAAGAGTTAGTTAAGTTTGTATTGATCTTTATTAAGCATTACAGAGCAACAAAGATCTTTTTAAATTTTTAACAGCTGCTCTATTTTGTTTGCATGAGGAGAGTATATTTCTATGCTTCAAGTTCAAAATAAAATTTCTAATTATAGAACATAATTAGAAATTTTACTTTGTATCAACAAAGAAGGTGCAGATCCAGACTATACTTGATGCTTCTCGATGTACTAAATTATAGTGGGGCAGTTGTAGAATAGAAAAAGACCTTTGCTTTACAGAACTTACTATTTTGATAGCAACTTTATACATTAAGATTGCCATGATTTCTACCATGAGCTAATGTAAAAAATTGTTATTGATCTTGCTCACTGTCCTAGAGATAATAATATGTAGTTAAAATTGTATTAGTTTGCATTAAAAAATTCTATATTACAAAACCTACTTGCTATTCCAGTACTCATAATATGCAGTTAGGATTGTATTATTACTAATTACAGAATACAGCAAACCCTTCATAAATACACACTCTTAGGACTGAACGTTAACAATATGCATGTAGAGAACAATAAGAAAAAGTGCACTTATAGATGTTATACATATATGTGGGCCAGAGGTTGAACATGCAATTAAAGAGGGTGTGTATTTATAGAGGGTGTATTTATAGAGGTTTCACTGTATTTGCTAAAGGTTGAGTTAGTTTGCATTGTAATTATCATGAGTGCTGGTAAAAATTTCTATTGCAAAACTTACTTTTCAGTGAAACACAGTATGCAATTAAAGTCTTTGTGAATTATTGTTAAAAATTCTGTTATGGAACTTTGAGTTAGTTTGTATTAAAATTTTCATAATTTATATCACAAAAATTCTGTATAAAACTTGTTATTCTAGTAACACAAAAAAGTATTTGGTTGTGAATTATTTTTTACAGTGGATCCTCAAATTTCCAGGTCGTATATCATGAATTTTTTCAAGTAGATTTATAACGATATATAACGCTTAATGTTTTATATTGATTAAATTTAAACGCTAAACATCGATTAATTTGTTATTTAGCGATATATATCATAAATCGCTTATTATCGATAATG